TCTGAAAAACTACCTTCTTATAAAGTTAGTCGTTTTGTTCAGGATCATTAATGCCAACCTCTTGTTAACAATCGTTAATGACGACCCTTTATTAACGATCGTTAGCATATTCATGAATGAAATCTTTTTTTAAAACGATAGTTTTTATAAACGATTGTTATTGGTATAAAACAGTCGCTTATAATTTTTTAAAAACGATTTTTATTTATTTGCTAAAAGTTCAAAATGAGTGGGTAAAACATCTTCATGATGGAAGATATGGAACATATAAAATTAGATTTTTAAAAATGGAATTTTTTTCTTCAAATTTTTTAATTTTACGGGGAACGCCGGGCACTTCAGCTAGTCTTTTCAATAAAACAGAAAGAGTTATAAATGTTTAAAAGTTTTTTAAGTATTATAAAATATGTAATTTGGTTTAATCTTGACTCAGGTTTTAATTCTTACTCTTGGATTAAAGTATTAGAGTTGGGGCTGTTTAATTGCCAATTAAACATTTCTTCTCCAGTCCTAGCTAAACTTACACTCTTTTCTCCTCCAGTCCTAGCTGAACCCATCCTCTATATTCTCCAGTTCCTAGCTGTGTAGCAAATATCGTAGCAATCCAGCTATATTTGTTAACCTGAACATATCTAGATATATCACGTTGTGCATTCTCTGTAAATATAAATGTGTTTATCACTAATTAAGCAAAACTTGTAATGCGATTAACCTAGCCTAGATACGTCTGTAAATAACTATGTCAAACCTGTATCGTGGTTAGCTTAACTACGCCTATATATATCTGCGCAAATCTTGTAAATATGTTCATTAACCTGTAACATAGATATCCAAATACACGAGAGTTGGAATTAGACTCCGATTTGATTACAGTGTGAGAGTAATTACTTCTTGGTTAGCGAACAAGAAGCATTTTAATCCCTTGTATTGAAAGATTTAAGTTGGGTACTGATTCAGATAAAGTTGTGTCCCAGAATTGACATTGATACTAAAGTATTGTTGAGTTGCATCTTGAAACATAGATATCTGAGAATATGGAAGTATATGCCTGGATTGGTACCGTATTTCAGAACTGAATAGTTCTATGCCTCTTGGATTAATGAGAGGGATTGAGTTGCATCTCTAAACAAAGGTACTTGCAAATATACGGAAGTATATGCCTGGATTGGTACTGTATTACATGGATTAACGAGAGGAATTGATTTGTACCTGGATTGATATTGGTCTGAAAGACTTTTCTGGAGTACGGCATTTCCAGTCCTAGCTGAACCCTTCCTCTATATTCTCCAGACCTAGCTGAACCCATTCTCAATATTCTCTTCCAGTCCTAGCTGAACCCATCCTCTATAATCTCCTCTAGTCCTGGCTGAACCCATCCTCTATATTATCCAGCTCTAGCTGAACCGATCCTCGTTATTCTCCAGTTCTAGCTGAATCCACCCTCTTTATTCTGCAGTCCCTGCTGAACGCGTCCTCTGTATTCTCCAGCCCTAGCTGAACCCATCCTCTATATTCTCCAGTCCTAGCTGAACACATCCTCTATAGTCTCCAGCCCTAGCTGAGCCCATCCTCTTTATTCTACAGTCCTAGCTGAACCGATCCTCATCATTATTCTCCAGTCCTAGCTGCATCCACCCTCTTTATTATGCAGTCCCTGCTGAACTCGTCCTCTGTATTCTCCAGTCCTAGCTGATTCCATCCTATATATTCTCCAGCACTAGCTGAATCCACCATCTTTATTCTACAGTCCTAGCTGAACCCATCCTCTATATTCTCCAGCACTAGCTGAATCCACCCTCTTTATTCGCAGTCCCTGCTGAACTCGTCCTCTGTATTTTCCAGTCCTAGCTGAACCCTTCCTCTATATTCTCCAGACCTAGCTGAACCCATCCTCTATATTCTCCAGTCCTAGCTGAACCCATCCTCTATATTCTCCAGTCCTAGCTGAACCCTTCCTCTATATTCTCCAACACTAGCTGAACCCATCCTCTATATTTTCCAGTCCAGGCTGAACCCATCCTCTATATTCTCCAGCACTAGCTGAATCCATCCTCTTTATTCTGCAGTCCCTGCTGAGCTCGTCCTCTGTATTCTCAAGTCCTAGCTGAACCCATCTGCTATATTCTCCAGTCCTCGCTGAACCCATCCTCTATATTCTCCAGTCCTAGCTGAACCCATCCTCTATATTCTCCAGTCCTAGCTGAACCCATCCTCTATATTCTCCAGTCCTAGCTGAACCCATCCTTTATAGTCTCCAGTCCTAGCTGAACCCGTCCTATATATTCTCCAGCACTAGCTGAACCCATCCTCTATATTCTCCAGCACTAGCTGATTCCATCCTATATATTCTCCAGCACTAGCTGATTCCATCCTATATATTCTCCAGCACTAGCTGATTCCATCCTATATATTCTCCAGCACTAGCTGATTCCATCCTATATATTCTCCAGCACTAGCTGATTCCATCCTATATATTCTCCAGCACTAGCTGATTCCATCCTATATATTCTCCAGCACTAGCTGATTCCATCCTATATATTCTCCAGCACTAGCTGATTCCATCCTATATATTCTCCAGCACTAGCTGATTCCATCCTATATATTCTCCAGCACTAGCTGATTCCATCCTATATATTCTCCAGCACTAGCTGATTTCATCCTATATATTCTCCAGCACTAGCTGAACCCATCCTCTATATTCTCCAGTCCTAGCTGATTCCATCCTATATATTCTCCAGTCCTAGCTGATTCCATCCTATATATTCTCCAGTCCTAGCTGAACCCGTCCTATATATTCTCCAGCACTAGCTGAACCCATCCTCTATATTCTCCAGCACTAGCTGATTCCATCCTCTATAGTCTCCAGTCCTAGCTGATTCCATCCTATATATTCTCCAGTCCTAGCTGATTCAATACTATTTATTCTCCAGTACTAGCTGATTCCATCCTATATATTCTCCAATCCTTGCTAAATCCATTCTAATTATGTTCTCCAATACTGACAATAATTACAAATATATAAAACTGGTTAAAACCATGAAATTTCAAATATGAAGTGATCTTAACCGTAATATTTAAACTTTATGAAATAGAAAAAGTTGAAACCATTAAAAAGTTTTAAATGGCTTTGTCGGGTTAGTTTAAGGAATATATATGGAAATGTTAGAGGTTTCTAAAGAATGTAAAGTTACAGGGATTTCGTAAAGGGAACTTTTTTTATAGGAAAGTAATGACAATTGGGGTGGATTGATTTCAAAAAGCTTAAAAAATAGTGGAAGAGATGAAATATATTAAAAATCTGAAATACATAGTTCATTAAAAAGTATAAAATAGCAAATGCGAAAATCGACATGTGGTTAAAAGTTAAGTCCAAGTTAAGTCTCATTTAACGTTAAACCATGGACCTCAAGTTTACTGTGAAGGTTTAAAATGAGTTCTCATGACTGGCGCAAGGGCATTTCTTTTCAATACTTATCCAGTATTTTTATAATTATAATTTTATATCCATTTAGTTTTCGGCTGAATTTCTAGTTTTGGTTCTCTCCGGCTGATTTTTCAAATATTTAGATATTTAACTTTTAATTGGTGCTTTAAAATTATTTTTAGCACTTATTGGTTTAGTTTTTCCTCTAAAGGGGGAATCCATAAAGCTGTGGAATTGGAAGACGACATTTAAACAACCATATATATGTAATTGATTCTATTATAAAGGAAATTATATTACTAGCAACTTAAAAAATATCATGGTGAAATGGGTTTGGGTTATAAGTCATAACTCAAGTCTAACAAAGCCTGCGATTTAAAATCTTCGGCTCGAGCCGTAATTCCTTGAACCCGACTTTTAGACCCAATCTTCTACCTAACTTGTGTCAGGTGATTGACAGCTGCAAGATCTTTGGCTCGATTTAAGGACAAAGGTGTTAAGCTCAATGAACATAAAACCGACCTTGGTTGGTTTTAGTGGAGAATAAGGCTCAATGTTGAGTCTTGCTCTCATAAAAACCCGAAATACGCCAATTCCTTCCATGAAAATCCGCCAAAAAGAATATTAAACCGATTATTTTCAACTAAACTCTGGAAAATAAGATGCAGCTTGAATCCGAAAGCTAAAGCCGTAAATAAGGCCCAACGACAGCTTAGACCCGACTCCGAGCCGTATTTTCCCTGTTTTTAAATTGCGGATTCAGAATACTGTATTCTGTGGCCTTTTTATAACAAAAAAAAATAATGTCTTATTGATTTTGAAAATCTTAATACCTTCAGTTTTTTCAGCCCCTTTTTCAACAAATTTAATTTTTTATTCCAATTTTCTATTTATTAATTATATAATTCTATTTTTCAATTTTGCCACAGACTGTTGTCTTTACTTTTGCTAATCCAGCTTTTTATGGAAGCAATTTAACCTTTATTCTTGGTAAACTATAAGGTACAGGCTGTCCCGAAAAAACATTGGATTTTAAAACGCGTATCTACATTTTAGAAAGCCCAGCAGTTAAAGGTTCTATAGAATATATCATATTAAATATTAATTTTCAAGATCGAATAAAATCCCATGTTTATTGGGACACTCTGTTTGTCAGCAAACAAGTATAATTCTAAAATAACAAAACTGTGATGAAGCCCGGCCAGTCAATCAACCTTTTGTCTTTACAGGGCAAGAAAGCGTACAGTAAAAATCAGAAAACTATAGAAAATAAAGACGACATTATACTAATCTTTGAGTTTATTTATTGTTGTTACAAAGACAGGGTTTTACTAGTAGCTTAACAGTTGATAATGTAGTTTTTATATACAGAATGATACCAAAAGGTTAAATTTATTGTTATTTTTTTGTATTTTTTTTCAATAATAAAAACATACTTAAAAACAAAACAAATAACTTTAATGAGACTTTAGACACGATTGAACAAAACTGAATCAGTCTTTTTCTTACATTTATAATGGCTTCCTATCTTTTAACAGTTTGTTATCTCTGCCAAATAATTTAGTAAAAGACAACATTTAAGATGGTACCGATTTATTAACTTTTTGAGGAACTCACAAAGGACGAGACTTTAGAAACGACTGTACAGATTATAATCAGTCTTTTTTCCTTTATTCATGGATTCCTAGCTGGATGTAAGATCAAAGATATCCTTCGGATGGACAGAGGGAAAGACTCAATAAAGACTAATGTTTTGTGCAGGTAACCCTGTATATAAAAATAAGTTAAGAAAAATATTGAAATAGAAAGGGGGGAGGTTCATCCACAGGGGGGGGGGGGGGTTCATCCACAGGGGGGGGGGGAAGGTTCATCCACAGAAGCATGTTTTCTTATCAGGTTTTCTATCTGAGTTGTGTAGGAATATTGGACTGGCTAATCTGTTATCAGACCTTTCTTCTCGTGATACTAAAGTAGAAAATTATTCAAACTTTTTATCATTTCTAGTTTAAAGATCAATAAACTGCAAGTCAAAAGTAAAGAATAATACAAAATTCAAATGTTTAAACCTTCAAGATGAAATTTGAGCTAGAGATAAATAATTAGTTCCTTTGCTTTTTATTAAAACAAGCAAAGGAATTGCATCAAACTTAAATTTTCTTATTCATTTATCTTTGCAACCTGACAGTGTATACTTTTGATATTTCAAACTTAGATTATTTGATCTGACATAATTGATAGTTTGAAATATTTAAGTAAGTAAGGTCTACATAATCGGGTTGCAAAAATAAAGGGATTAGAAAATCAGAGTTTGTGGCAAAGACGCAATTTCTTTACTTTTAAGAAGCGAATACATATATAGAATTAGTTTGAAAAAAGAGAACTATCCAGTTAACATACCCCCCCCCCCAAAAAAAAAGAAGAAAAAACTAAACAGGAACAGTGTAAATAATATATAAATGCTTCAGTGGGTTCAGTTTACAATAAAACGTTCAAAATTCGGATTGACAGAAAATGAAATATTTGTTGAATTTTTATTTATCCAATTTTTCTATTTTGGATTGAGAATGAAAGAGTAAAATTAACTACTGTGCCAACATCAATAATTTGATAAAAATGAAGAACAACAGATGGGAGGCGGTGGATTTATTAAAAGGACCGTTTACAGCAGATGGGAGGAGGTGGATTTATTAAAGGAACCGTTTGCAGCAGATGGGAGGAGGTGGATTTATTAAAGGGACCGTTTGCAGCAGAAAGGAGGCGGTGGATTTATTAAAGGGACCGTTTGCAGCAGAAAGGAGGCGGTGGATTTATTAAAGGGACCGTTTGCAGCAGATGCGAGGCAGTGGATTTATTACAGGCACTGTCTGCAGCAGATGGGAGGTGGGGGATTTATTAAAAGCAATTTGAATGATTTGAGTGATTTGAGGAGTGATTTGAGTGATTTAAGGAGTGATTTGAGTGATTTGAGGAGTGATTTGAGTGATTTGAGGAGTGATTTGAGGAGTGATTTGAGGAGTGATTTCAGTGATTTGAGTGATTTGAGTGATTTGAGTGATTTTAGGAGTGATTTGAGTGATTTGAGAAGTGATTTTAGGAGTGATTTGAATGATTTGAGGAGTGATTTGAGTGATTTGAGGAGTGAGTTGAGTGATTTGAGGAGTGATTTGAGTGATTTGAGTGATTCGAGTGATTTGAGGAGTGATTTGAGTGATTTTAGTGATTTAAGGAGTTATTTGAGTGATTTTAGTGATTTGAGAGATTTGAGTGATTTGAGTGGGGTCGAAGAAAATTAGGCACCGAGGAATGGATAATATTATAAAAAGGGGGGATTTATGACTAGGGGGAGGGGGTAGTATGATGAAGTTCTACTAGTTTTTCTATAAAGCTAAATTAGTTAACCTACTCCATATTAATTTAAAGTAAACAATATTCTTTAATAAATTAAAAACTTGAATTTAAATTAAAATTAAACTAAAATATTAAGTTTGATTAAATTCCTAGTTGCTGAACTAAACTTAAACCAGCTTCATCAATTCCGTTCCCCTCCTTAGCAGACACCAGGGACCAACCTTATTATCATTTTTATCATTATTATTAATATTATTATTATTATCCCATTTATCAATATTATTATTATTATTATAACCAGCTTCATCAATTCCGTTCCCCTCCTTAGCAGACACCAGGGACCAACCTTATTATCATTTTTATCATTATTATTAATATTATTATTATTATTATTATTATTATTATTATTATTATTATTATTATTATTATTATTATTATTATTATTATTTTATTATTATTATCATTTTTATCATTATTATTAATATTATTATTATTATTATTATCATAATTATTACTATTATCATTTTAATTATATTCATTATTATCATGATTCGAGCTGGTACAACATGTACTATCCAGTCTGGACTACCAAGTGTAAAGCGGATCCAGCACGTTTTATGCAACAACTGCTGTAGCCTGGCAGGATCACAGTGTAGTATTTTCATTATTTTTTGTTCAATTATCTGTAAACAGTTTTAAATTTATATTTTATATAAATATGTTTTTAAAATACATTATATTCCCGTCCATATTCCGACACTCTATTTTTCAGAGTTAATAACATGACCTTCATAAGTTAGACGGGAATTATACTAATAACATTGAATATATAAAACAGTATCTACCAGATCTCGGAACTACAGGGTGTCCCACGAAACATGACAATAGGAAGACGACTTGAAAGTCGTCTTTGGTATTTGAATTTATTTGTGACATTTAGTCTTCTATCTACTTTAACATGCATGATTCTGGAAACAATTATCACATAATTCTCCTAGCCCTGGCATTTCCAAAAAGTGGTCTGCGTTTTTTGTGCTTTCAATATTACCGGAGATATAAAGTGTTTGGTTCAGATTTCAATTTTGTTAAATAAAAGCAAAATTGTCGAAATCTGAACGAAATTCTTCATATCTCGGGCAATATTGAAAGCACAAAAAAAGGCAGACCACATTTTGGAAATGGCAGGACAAGGGAAATTTTGTGATTATTATCTCTAGAAATTTACTTCTAAAATTAAGTTGACAAATAAACGCAGCAAATTATATCAAAAATCAAGACGACATTCAAGTCGTCCTGCATACTGTCATGTTTCGTGGGACACCCTGTAGTATCGTTAATATTTAACGATTAATCTCGATACCCAATGTATGGCACTGTTAAATTCAAGGAAAAAATGGTTGATCGTTTCATTTTAGTTAACCCTGTAGGATGCAATCAATATACGGGATTTTGAAAAGAAATTATATTAATCTGCATAAGATGTAGAGTTATGCTGGATCAGGAGATTCACAATACAAAAGTTCTGAACTTCATTGTCAATTTAGAAATTGTTCTAATATTATCATTAAAAGTCTTTTTTTTTGGAAATAGTTTTTTATTGGTGCGACGTTGCAATGTTGATCCTATTCTGTGGTTAGTAAAAATAGATTAATTTTTCTTGAAATATTATCATAATTATGATAATTAAATTGCTATTGTTATATTTGTAAATATAGTTTATTTTGATGAATTAGACCATTTAGAAAATAAAACAATTAAGTTTTCCTTACATATATTTTATAAAAATAGAAAAACATGTATTTTTATGTTTAATTATCATAAACATCATAGTTCGTAATGTACAGGGTGTCCCAATAAACATGGGAATTCAGTGACGAATTGGATATCGTCTTTGTTATAAATTTGCATTGTAATACCTAATTTCAAAAGCCATAATATTACTATGTATGTATGATAGAATTTATTTTATGAAAAGAGTAAAACACTGTAAAGATGTCTCCGCAAGATAAACAGTGTTTGTATACTGCAATTTTCTTGTTTTACTAAGTACAACCGTATGCAGCCAAAACATAAACAAACAAAATGTGAACATAGCAGACGAAACTCTTACAGATTACAGCTTTTTCAGTAGGTATCACTATACTAAATCAAAGAATTATTTATAAAGACGATATCGAATTCGTCACTGAATTCCGATGTTTATTGGGACACCCTTTAACATAATGACTTTGAAAAGAAAAAGGGTGCCCTGCACAGTAATCCAAAAAATCGTTTCAAATTTTTCCTAAAATATCTGAAGAACTAAAGCCAAAAAAGTGTTAAATAATTAATAATAATAGTTATAAAATGTACACTTTTACTGCCTCAAACAAGTTTATGTGAGTCTTTGAGGTAAAAACAAAGGCATTGCGACACTTCAAATTCGACCCTGTCCAAATTCATTTTAGACCAGCTTTTAATTTTTAGGAACGTAAACTTAAGAATCATTTTTAACCCACTACACACAGCGGGAGGCGATTTTGTCAATGCAACGAAGACGGCTTTTTTATTTAAGTTTTGTTTGTTAATAAACTTTTTCGAATTATGTAAGTAATCAATTTAGAGGCTTTTTTATTAACAGCTTCTCTTTACTTTCGTTTCGATTTCTTAAACATAAACAGCTCAAGCTTTTTTTTGTCCTAGAACTCTCCTAGCGTTGTGAATTGTTGTGAATTTTAATGAAAAGAAATTTAAAGATGTTTTGTAATTTTTTAAAATAATTTTTGTGAATTTTAATGAAAATAAATTTAAAGATGTTTTGTAATTTTTTTAAATACATAGGGTAGGGTACTTGAAAAACGGATTTAGAAACGTGTGATATTTGTTGAAAATAAAAATAAATATATTTTACATTCTTTTACCCCTTTTTTCCACCCTCACCCTCCCTATTAAAGTTATCGGTCTAATTTTTTTTCAATGAGCTGGCCTTGACAAATTGGACTATGAACATGCATTTCAATCCTATTCTCTGGAGCCTTTTTCTAGGGGGGGGGGGCGTGGACGCCCCCAGAGATTCAGAGCTCTCAGCCTTTTTAGGGTTAATATAGACCGTAAACGCCACTAAATTAATATAATTGAGATCGTTAGCTAACAGTAACTTTTAGAAAGAGTGGAAAAAACCGTTAACAGAACGGAACCTTCAGATTTTTATTAGAACAAACGAACGAAATAGGTAGTTCACGTACAAAAAACGAACGAAATGTTTAGTTCACGAACAATGAACGAAAAAAATGGTTAGTTCACGAACGAAAAACGAAAAAAATAGGTAGTTCACGAACAAAAAACGAACGAAATGGTTAGTTCACGAACGAAAAACGAAAAAAATAGGTAGTTCACGATTGAAAAACGAAAGAAATGGTTAGTTCACGAATGAAAAACGAAAGAAATGGGTAGTTCACGTACGAAAAACGAACGAAATGGTTAGTTCACGAACAATGAACGAAAAAAATGGTTAGTTCACAAACGAAAAACTAAAAAAATAGGTAGTTCACGAACAAAAAACGAACGAAATGGTTAGTTCACGAACAATGAACGAACGAAATGAAAAGAAACCAAACGCACCCAGTGCAGACAGACTAGAAGGCAAACCGGAAGGATTACACCATGTAGTATACTCTTCTAGTGAGAATAATAAAGTGGGAACCAGGAAATATTGGAAAAGGACATGAAAGCACTACTAAAGTGTATCTAATCTGATGTTGTTACAAAGTAAAGTTGGTTATGCTCGTAACTTTTAAGATGAATTATTTAGGGAAATGGGTCTGATTACACTGCACAATTGCCGTGTCTAATGTTACTCGCACTGTTTCAAATAAGAACCTAAATTCTACAGTTTTCTCTTTATGTTTATGTTTGAATGGAAGACGATTTTTACCTGCAAACCCATGTTTTTTGCAGAACTCAGATATTTCTTCATCAGTTGGCATCTCAGGCTCTCTGCAGTACAATAACAAACATTATGTACAATATGTTTACGTACAGAGTTACCCACGACGGATATTTCTTCAAAGACGACTGTACGGAATTTATAATGTCATTTTCAATTTATTCATGATTATCTTCCAATGTAAACTTCTTTTTTTCTTTGTCAAATCATTAAAAAAGCCATTTAAAGTCTATATTCAAGACAGTAGATTTAATATAAACTTGGGATCGTCATATTTGAAAAGTTTCAAGTCGTCTTTACAGTCTCATCCTTTAAGAGTGTCCCTGAAGCTCAAGTTTCAAGCTTCAAAACTTAACTCTGGTACATCTAGTAGTAATAAGTAATCATTTTAACCCTATCTTTGCTGAAGAATGGTTCATGGTGAGAAGAAACCCTAATTGACAAGTACACAAAAGCGTATTTAAAAAAACTAATATAAAAAATTTTAATTTTGAAATATTTTTTAACATTATATTATCAATATCGAATAACATGTTCGCCACTTCAATAAATTTTGACCAGATGGTTTTTTTGGTGTTCAAGCCCAGTCAATTTTAAAGGAGTTGATTCTTCGCCAAAAATTGTAAGTTTCTAAACTCTATATCTTTGCAACCCAATGTCGTGGACCTTACATTTTTCAAACTATTAATTCTATTAGATCAAATAAACTAGGTTTGAAATATCAAAGGTGTACATTATCTAGTTGCAAAGATATAGAGATTAGAAAATTTGAGTTTGTGGCAAATACTTAATTCCTTTTCAGTAAAATGGCCGAGTATGACACATGATGCATTTTTGAAAAGCTCTAAGGCTCCTTCGGAAATCTGAAAGAAAATAAGTTAATTGCAAAAAATTGGTAATTTTGTTGGCAATATAAATAAAAGGAAAGAAATTGAGTTTTTGCCACAAACCCAAATTTTCTAATACCTATATCTTTGCAACCTAGTTTGAAATGTCAAACTTGGTCTATTTAATCTAATAGAATATATAGTTTGAAATATTAAAGGTTACGGTTTCGGGTTGCAATAAAGAGTTTGTGGAAAAAATGTTGTTCCTTTATAAATAATAAAACATATGTGAACAATATCGAAATCACTTAAGTTCATTTTATTTAATTTTTGTCGAAATTTAAGAATAGGATGTTTTGTTTTCCTTGGTAGATCACACTTATTCCCGAGTAAAATTGCTGGAACAGGTCTACCATCACCGGATAAAACCTTTAAAAAAACAGTAAAATATGTTTTAAAAAAAATGTTTTAATTTTTTAATTTTACCTTTTGGTCAAGATCTAGTTTCCATTTGACAGCAGCCTCTGAACATTTAAACATCGTACATTTGATGGGAAAATAATTGTTTTGTTTTTTTTTAAATCGTAAAAAATTGATAAAGCAAACCACTTGCGGATTTTTACAGCAATGAAACCAAGATTTATCTCAATCAGAATGACAATATCTTTGTAGATTAAAAACCAGAAAACTGTGACATAGCAAGACGACTTTAGACTCAAGTTTTTATCTGAGTCCTACGTGAACATGATATAATGATACAGAACAATTGCGCGGTGTAAATAGACCTATTTTTCTTAAAACAGGATTTTTTTAAGCTACTGGTAAAACTATTTGTTTAAAACTTCATAAAAACACTTGTTTACTTGTGGTCTTCCTATTCCACAGTTTTCTGGTTTTCACTGTATATAGATTTTATTTTATTATATATATTTTATTATATATATATATAAGTCCACAAAAATAATTATTTGACAATTTAAAAAAAATTCAAATTTTAAAATCTTTTTCTAGAGCAAAATGACGTCTAATCCCTAGTGTTGCCACCCTGGACAGATCGAAGACGATAAATGCCGCGGCTGCATCCCTGTAGTATACCCTCGTCATGTTACCAAACCTTTCCTGACCTAATCAATAATAATTTAGAGTTAATTAATATCTAAAGAATGTATTGTCTACAGGATGGATGGAGGATAAGAATGTATTGTCTAGAGGATGAATGGAGGATAAGAATGTATTGTCTAGAGGATGAATGGAGGATAAGAATGTTTTGTCTATAGGATGGAAAGAGGATAAGAATGTATTGTCTAGAGGATGAATGGAGGATAAGAATGTATTGTCTAGAGGATGAATGGAGGATAAGAATGTATTGTTTAGAGGATGAATGGAGGATAAGGATGTATTGTCTAGAGGATGGATGGAGGATAAGAATGTATTGTCTAGAGGATGAATGGAGGATAAGAATGTTTTGTCTAGAGGATGAATGGAGCTCAAGAACTTTCCCAATAAATAGATCTTTTTAAAATTCAGAAGAACTTGGATATTGATTTCTCTCCTCCACACCCTGTCAATCAAATTTAGGAAAATGTGAAATTTAAAGATGTTTAAAGGAAGAGTGTCGATATAAAAAATGTGGGTGGGGGAAGACTCTAAAGTTTAAAAAATATTTGAAATAATTCAGAAATTGAATCGGATACAATATAATTTAGCTAATCCATGGATTCTGGGCAGGAATACAGTTTTTTATTATAATATTAGTTTGTTAAGTTTTAAAAATGCCGCGCTTAAGAGACGATTAAGCTCCCTAGGTGCCACATATGACCAGAGACGACTAAGTTGCCTAGAGTAGAATGTCTGTTACAGCTAGTTTCTAATGTCGATTTTAAAAATTCCTAGTGTCTAATGTCTATTGCATAGTGTCTAATGTCTAATGTCGATTTTATAAAATCGTCTAATGTCATGTCGATTTTAAAAATTCCTAGTTTCTAATGTCTATTGCATAGTGTCTAATGTCTAATGTCGATTTTATAAAATCCTAGTGTCTAATGTCGATTTAAAAATTCCCAGTGTCCAACGTCTATTGTATAGTGTTCAATGTCTAATTCCTAATGTCTATGTTCAGTATACATTGTCTATAATTGCCAAGTGTCTAGACTGGTATAAATGCAGTATTGTAGTTTAAAGTTTTAATATCTGTCTACCTCAATATAGAATATTTATTCTACTGGGAACCTTCTCCTTGGTATTTTTAAATATGTAAACAGAAACATTTTCATAAAATAATTGAATGGTTCAATTAGGTAATAATATTCCTGTATCCCTGTATCCCTGTATCCCTGTATCCCTGTATCCCTGTATCCCTGTATCCCTGTTACCCCTGTATCCCTGTATCCTGCAAGGCTGGAACTGTATCCCTGTATCCCTGTATCCCTGTATCCCTGTATCCCTGTATCCCTGTATACCTGCTATATCCCAGAGTTGCAACCTAACCACAGTATCTTTGTCTAGGTTAACCGTCTTGAGTGCAAAATCTACTCCTGTAGTAATCAGACCAGTCTCTTATCAATTATGCAAACTAACCGCAGTTTAACACTTCTCAGAGTTAGAAACTTCTATCTTTTAGAAAATCTTTATGGTCAAAATTTTTATGCTCAATATATATATTGGAAATTGGCTGTGCACCATATTTTACAGTTAGAACCCACTTACTTTATACAACTCAGCTGAAAACAAAATATAAAACTGTTGGTTTTTTACATTTAAAGAGCAATTTCATGTGAGACACACAAATAGATTGGCTAGAATGCTTTTTTTATGATGAAAGGTAAAGGTTAAAAAAGATAAATGAATTGATTACTATTCACAAACTCTACTTGCGTTGAACTGCCTCTCCACGGCTCAAAGGAAGTGAGTTGTTGTCACAAACTTAAATTATCCAATTTCTATAACTTTGATTCCTGATGGTGTAAACCTGTGATGTTTCAAATTTAAATTCTTTGATCTAACATAATTCACAGCTTTAAGTATCTAAGGTCTACGAAATTGGGTTGCGAGGATATATGGGTTAGAAAGTTAGAGTTTGTGGCATAAACTCCATTCCTTTGAATCACCGATTCAAATCTTCATAAATCTGTAACTTTGGATCGGAGGCCCAAATTTGCACCGGCATTGGTTGAGCGACGTAGCTCAATTTAATTAAATTTGGTTTGAAAATTAGAGATTGTGGCGAGTAATCAATTCCTTTCTATTTATTTACATAGATAATTGTCTGGTTAAAACTGGATATTCTGGGAAAAACTGTCTAGTTTCGGAAATAAATCCAGCTTCTGCTGGTTACAATTCCTTTGACGAAATAGACCAGGAAATAGGAAACTATTAAACTTTTCACAATAGATTAAATTCCAGAGACATTTGAAACTGCACGCAAAACACTTAAAACTAGATTTAAAAGTTACAAAACAAGTTGAAAACCTTCAAAACAACTTTTTTTTTACACAATTGAAAAGAAAATAAATCACTTTATCGCTATTAGATAAAATTTAATTTTGCAAATCATTTTGCTTTTGCCACAAACTTAAATTTTCTAATTTCAATTTCATTGCAACCTGGCGGTGTAAACCTTTAATATTTCAAAGGAACTGAGTCTTTGCCACAAAATCAAATAGTCTAATCCCTATATCTTTGCCACCTGATGGTGGAAACCTTTATTATTTCAAACTTATGTTATTTGATGTATATGTCAGAATAGTTTGAAATATCTAAAGTCTATGTCATTAGGTTCCAAAGATATGGGAGTAGAAAATCAGAGTTAGTGGCAAAGAATCAATTCCTTTAGACTATTTGATCAAACAGAAATCATAGTTTGAAATATCAAAAGTCTATCACATCGAGTTAAAAAAGATTTTGTGGTTAAAAAATTTAAATTTATAACCACGCAAATCTGCCTCTTTAGTAAAAGTAAATTCAACCTATATAAAGCATAAAGTCTGACCGTGTCAACCTTGTTGCGCCGGCTTGTCCTGTCCATAGAGCTAGGTACAGTACAAACTGGGACCGGAAAGGTTGACCCGGCTCGGAAATTCCAATGTACTACGGTTGCCCGTTTGACGACCGTTCTCATCAAATATAGATTTTGAGGTAAATTTTTATTTAATTATTTTTGACTGATCTGCCTATGGTAGCTCTGTAATGTTGAGAGAAGAACTGATGAACATATCGTTTAATTATACTTGTTTTTCCACTTCCAACTTCTCCTTACCCATTTCCGAGACTGGGACATCTTCATACATTACTTTTACTTATTTATTTACGTACAAGCAATAATCCACAATTTGTGCTTTATACATGTCCAGGTTATATAATACTTGTTTTTAACATCTTTAAATCTTTGCAAACCTTGACATTTTAATCTATGATTATTGCCAGATTAGATAAACAAATAGTATAAATAATGAAATGATAACACAAAAAGTTTAGAACAGATATATCGATTAGAAAATTAAAATTTGAAATATGTAATTGTATTTTAACTTTAGTTTAACTTGAATTTCTGGGGATTTATTATTATCTATGAAGATCTCTATTCTGGATAGGATGTTGTACTTTATATGGCACAGGTTTTAAAATTTGAAAACGTCTTTTGGAAAAATTAATTCTATCAAAATTGATTTTTATAACGCAGCGTAATAATAGCATAGTTTTATGTATAATTTCTTGCCTATGACCAGAACTTTGAAGATATAATCATCCCTGAAAAAAATGTAAAAGTTTTAATTAAAAACAAATAAAAAACAAAATTTAATTATTTCTCAAACATATAAAATTTAGATTTAATGGACGCAATTTCAAGTTACTCTTCATGCAGAGATTGAATTTTATTTTTTGATAATTATATTTTTATTTTGATTGATAGTTAACAACAACAGAGAACTCCGTGTGTCTATCTCTAAAAAGATTATTAAATTGCCAACTAAAATGGAGTTTACATTAAAATATGTTAATTAAATATTAATAAGACTAGAAATTCAAGGCGCTTCGCGCCCTTCTTTCTAGCCTTAGAGGGCGCTTCGCGCCTATCTTCTAAATTAGTGGTGAACATGTTCTCTTTGTGTACATCGTAAAACAAAACAAAAATAATTCGCAGATTTTTACAAAAAATTTCGCGGATTTTCAAAATTTAAAAATTTAAATTAAAAATTTAATGACGATCGAATTTTGAAAGAGACAAATATTTGAAATTTTATTTTTTCATAAACCTTCCCTGGGGTCCCTAGATGTCCCACAAAAAATTTGGGCCCGATCGGTTCAGCCGTTTTGACGTTTATTGGATACAAACAAACAAACAAACAAACAGACAAACAGACAGACAGACAAGCCAAATTTATATATAGATTAATAATTAACATTTCTTTAAAAAGCCAATTTTCAAACAAAGTTATCAAGAAGTGGAAGCATTTCCGTAGAAAACTAAGGATAATTCTGTCATCCCTGATTAGTTTAAAGTTTAAAGCGGACTGTTCTGAATCACATTACATTGAGATGGATTGGTTTTGGTTTTAAAACTGGGATAGTTTTATGAAGCATTGCAATTTGTTTGATTTAGTTGATTTGATATTTGAAGTTTGGGCGGACTTGCCAAAATATTTGAAATATATCAATAGTTTTCAATTATTATTTATTTTTAAACATTGTATTTTACAATTCATGGAAAAGTATTCCATTTCTTATTCATTTGGGTTAGATATGATTATACAAGCGCTCTAAAAATATATGATTATAAAAGCGCTCTAAAATATATGATTATACAAGCGCTCTAAGAATATATGATTATAAAAGCGCTCTAAAAATATATGATTATAAAAGCGCTCTAAAAATATATGATTATAAAAGCGCTCTAAAATATATGATTATACAAGCGCTCTAAAAATATATGATTATAAAAACGCTCTAAAAATATATGATTATAAAAGCGCTCTAAAAATATATGATTATAAAAGCGCTCTAAAAATATATGATTATAAAAGCGCTCTAAAAATATATGATTATAAAAACGCTCTAAAAATATATGATTATAAAAGCGCTCTAAAAATATATGATTATAAAAACGCTCTAAAAATATATGATTATAAAAGCGCTCTAAAAATATATGGTTATAAAAGGCCTCTAAAAATGACCCAAAGTGAGAAAAATATTTCCCAAAAATTGATGCTTTCATTCTGATTGGGTAAATTTTTATTTTATACAAATCAATTACGTAAAAATGTACAACTTGAATATTTAGCTTACAAACACACAAAGATATCTCTATATCGTTAATTAATGAAAAGGGTACAATTAGACCCAGTCTGCATCGTTTATGCACTATTAAATAGTGTAAATTATATTCCGTTTGTAATAAAATTCTAGATTTTACCTGGAACTCATTTTTACGACGTTGAAGGCACTAAAGCTAATGCTAAGTTTGTTTCTTCTGATGCTGATGCTACTTTGATGCTGATAGTGGATTTAAAAACTTATTAAACTGCTCTTTCTGATAATGAATCAGATGCTGTATCTTGTAATTCTACTCTTGAAACAGCGTCTAGAATATTGTTTTCCTTTTTTTTCCTGAAAAACTGAAAAAGTTCAAAATGTTCTTTTGTTTCTTTTCCTTTGTAGTATCTTCAATATCAGCCACAGAAACCTTTATGTTGGCTTCATTTGCCCAGATGTCGTGCGATCTGAAATATTCACAATATTCAAATTCAGAACTTTTTCTTTCTTTGGAGAATCAGAAAAACGAATAACTATTTTTTATTTAGAAAACTGTTTCCTCATTTTTGTTCAAAATCAAAATTTTGAAATTTATCAGATTTCGTCATTTGCGATTAGTTTCCTACTATTTTTTATGCAACCCGCCTCCTTGCTTTTAGTTTGTATTCATAACAAAAGCTTTGTATATTTTGATTTATCAAAACTTCAAAAGAACCTGTCAAATCATTTCACAAAAGTTTTTATTGTGTTTATCGAGGTTTATATATTACACAATTAAATATTAATCTTTGTCATTTAGCACAAAAAAAGATCAAACAAAAAATGTTTACCTACTTTTGACTCCAACCAGGGGGGGGGGGTTAGTTTCACGTGTACACCAAACAAAAAGTAATTTTCCTCTATGGACTAAAGATCGCCGAGAAATGTTTTGTTTTCCATGAAATATCACATATTTATTAATTTTTTTCTTTAATAACGTTTTAGAGATGCTAAACAATTTAGGCTTGAACCATAGTCTGTGCCTTAATTAACCGTACTGCCTAGACCCTGCTAAAAAATTCGTTTAAATTTGTTTAATAAAGTAAAATTATGATATTACCCTTTTAAATGTGTAAATGCCAGAGTAACTCCTCTTAACGACATGTACGTTATAATATAAAGTCCCAACACTACTAACCACACATATAGATAACAACGTAGATAGATTTAGATAGATAGATAGATAGATAGATAGATAGATAGATAGATAGATAGATAGATAGATAGATAGATAGATTACTGATAGGTAGATAAACTAGATTGCAGAAGAACATTTGATAAGAATATGATAAGATTTTTAACAAATTTCTCAAAATTAAGAAAAAAAAATTTTTTGTTCAAAAAACTAAAATGTAAAGAATTGATAATCGAGAAACTTTTTAAAAAAAGCTAAAATCGAATTTTGAATATTTAGCCTGCAAATTTTAAGAAAAAATAAAGCTGCGTAAGTTTTTTCTTCTTCATTTTCAGAATATGCTGTGCAGATTCTTGTTTAATAAAGAATTCAAACAATTTTATTATGGCAGGATATTTTTTAACAAAGAAGACGACCTATGCATGCAAGTAGTTCATTATTTTCAAAACCTTCTATATAATAACATTTTACCATCCAAATAGTGTAATTTGTTTGAAAATATATTTTTAATCCTATCTCTGCTGGGGTACTTGAAAACCAGGATATGCTGGGGGGGGGGGGTCCCTGTAATTTCCCATTCACAACGGCCCCCTGTAATTTCCCATTCACAACGGCACCCTGTAATTTCCCTTTCACAACAGCACCCTGTAATTTGTAAAACCTTCCGTTCTTTACAATACTTTTCCTGTCCACATCAAATGACACTTGGGACGATGAGATGTTATTTTTTTATCACGGAAAGTTTAATTATAAAAATACAGTTTTTACCTAAAATTTTATTCTAATCTTCAATATGTAAAGTTAAAAAAAATTTCAGTTTAAAATAAATTTAAGAATATGAGTTGTTGTTACAAATTTAAATTTTTTAATCCATATATTTTAGCAACCTGGTGGTGTAAACAAAATTTATAGAAATATAGATATTACAGGTTGCAAAGATATAAGAATTAGAAAATCAGAGTTTGTTTTGTTGTTGTAAACATCATCATTCTTAATATTTATGGGATATGATGTAATGTTAAACGTGCAGGTACCATGCTATTGAACACTTGAATCGTATTAAACAAATATCTGATTCGAAAAAAGGAAAAATTTATTGATTCTAAAAGATTGATCAATGTTCGGAAAAGATTTCCGGAATTCGATATTTCTTTAAAGCAGTGCTTAGGATCCATTTAAATTTGATGGGGATCCAGATCCGGATCCTGGATCCGCATTGAATAAAAATGGATCCGGATCCAGGTCATTTCTTTAAGATTTGCTGAATTTTTTTTAACAAAAAATAATTTTCAAATTTTTTGTTTTATATTTTTCGCGTATTTTTATTCTAAAACTTGATGAACCATTCAGAAATGATGAAACTTTATATTCTCTCTTTTGTTCAAAAGCTCAGATTTGGGTTTTAGGAGTAAAAAAGTTTCTTTTGTAGTTTTTGGTTGATATTTTACCCCTTGGATCCGGATCCTAAGCACTGTTTTAAAGGGACTGAACGGGTAAGGAACCCTTCATGCAATTGATGGAAACGCCCGATTAACAATGGTACCCTTCAAAACTTCAACTCTGTTTATCTTCTTTTGTGGTTTTACTGCAACAGTGACTGGTGCATTTCTTGCTTTTTAAGAAACCATGGAGAAATTTACAGAAATAATCCTTTCTCAAGTTAGAACAACAACAACTTTTTTTTTATTAAATCAAAGTTTAAACTTAAAGTTACGGTTGTATATTAGGCATTAATTTCTTTCTTTAAAAATCTAAGAAATTAAAAGTTTTTACATAGATATTGATATGCATTAACTTTTAACCGTTAGAATTATATCAATTCTTTAAAGAAAAGTTGGTTTTAAAACATTTGTGAAATCAATATTTGTGACCTCCAATTTTACTTTAATATATTTTACTTTATACGCTCCTTGTGGTTTTAGCATAAGTTTCTAAACAGTTCCAAAACATTAAAAATCTTTTCAAACAATTGCAGGAAAGCTAAAATATTACTCAATACTCGATATGTTAAATTATTCGACGGCAACATTGTTATTTACAAACTATAACTTTTAAAGCGGCCAGCGGAGGGGGAGGAGGTTTTTTAAATCCCAATGTTCTTACATTCCGCCACGAAATTAAACTCAAACTCTTAAATTTGAAAATCTGCATTAATATTTAATTCAGATGAATTGGTAAGGCTAGGACTGGGGATATTTCTAATTTTTGAAAATGTTTGTTCCACGTTCGTTCACCAGGGTCTTGAGCTGGAGAATCCGTTCCACGTTGGTTTCTTCCAATATCGTTCCATTCCTAACTTATTCGTTACATTTCTAATTTACGATTGTCCATGAATGAGCGTTCGTTAAAGTTTAGGTAGTTAAATTATCATTTAGATGTTATCATTTAGATGTTAGATGTTAACATGATACGATCGCTAACGAGTTGAAATCAAGGTTTGTTCGTTGATAAATGATCGCTCCAGTTTCTTACAGAACTGTTCAAACTACGTTTGTTTTTTAACTATGAGGTTGCTGACGAAAAATTCCGTTCGTTTAAAGAACATTAACGCCGTCTGCAGTCCTAGAATAGGCACTATCACAACCAACAAATCTAGCCTGAGGAATATAATTTGCAGAAAAACTGATAATAAAGAAAATATAACTTCTTATTTTTAAAATGATTTAATTTGACAAATTATAAACGTTCCCTTTAAATGTTTTTAAATTAAATTCCCTTTAACTCTTCAATTTAGCGTTCATTGCCAGATAAACCAACATCATTCATGGAAGAATTTTCCTCAATAAGCTAATTAAAAATATAATTATTGTCGTAGCTTCATCTGTTTTGATTACAATCATCGATTAACAGAAAAATAAACATTCATCCCCCCCGCCCCTCCCCTCGTCAAATTATTAGATATTTAATCATTTGAAAATGGAGGTATATTATTATATGACGTTTATCTTGAAGTTGTTAATTAAAATTTTAATTTAACTTATGGAACTTCATACATGGGATGGATTCAGAAACAAGTCTCATTCCATTTATATTTATAAATATAATCCAGACTTAATTATTCAACTGTTCACCATTCATTCCCTTCAATTTATATCTTCTATATAATAAAGCTCTTCACTCATATATATATATATATTTGTATATTTGTGTGTATTTTTATTTGGTCCAGCTCATGAACCCCTTGACCGATTTGTCTCAAACTTTGATTGGGAAACTTGGTAGAACGACAAGAATGTGCTTAGCCTGGTATTCTAAGTAAAGCTGGGTTCCCAAGCTAGTCTGTTTATATTCATGTTTCTATAAAACTTAAACATTAATTTTAGTTATTTTTACCAAAACTGTTTCTGACAGATCGTTGTATCAATTTTTCTCTGACGCCAGAGCATTAGTTATTTATGAAAAAGTTTAGCTTCCATTTATTTATTTAAGTAGAGGAATAGGTTGATAGCTGGATAGTTAGATAGGTTGATAGCTGGATAGTTTCATGATTGAACGAACCTAAGTTTTGTATGAATGTTTATTAAGACTAACGTTCAAAATGACAATAGTCCAAAAATATGTTTTTTAATAATTTCATATTAACATGATTAAAGAACCTGTCAAATCATTCGTTGGGATGTTTAGAAAGATGAAAATTTCCCTGTATGATAATTGAAGGACTGCAGTATGGTTTTGGTGAATTATATTGGCGTACAAAGCCTAGGGGTGTCAGAAATGATTTTTTTTGCATATTTTTAAAAACTTCTATAAAACTTTTTAAGTTTAATTTTTGATAAAACTTTTTGTTCTGGATGATTGCAAATATCTATCTAAAACTTTCTTAAACCGGCATATTTTTTCTATATTCATTTAGTTAAGAGTTTGAGTCAAAATAAGTATTAATAAATATTGCTTTATATCGAGTAGATATCCTTAAACATACCGATGTAAAACCTTTCAGAAAGTAGGAAAGATTCTG